TTCTGTCATCCAGCTCTCTGATGCATAAAAAGTAATTGTGAAGAACATGGCCTGAACGAGGCTCACCTTAGTTTCTAGACGAACATCATTGCTTTTCAATACTCTGGAGAGGTGCCTGACAGCAGGTCTTCCCAGTGCAATTCATCTTTTGATATCCTGACTGCTGGTGCCAAGAGTGTTGATGGTAGAGCCAAGCAAGTGATTATGCACAATAATATAGTGATTTGTGACTTAAAAGCGTGTCAGTTTTGTCAATATTTAACTCCTCTGGAACAACCATTTTAATCTCTTGAGATAAGTGGGCTGAAGCATACCATCAAGCTACTAAGTGGCAGAGTTTACATTCTAAGCCACTCTCCAATCTGGTACCAAGGGGTGAATTTTCACTAAGATGAAATCTGCCATGTGATCTGATGTCTCACATCTTATTCACGGTGCCTTTTTTGTTTTTTAAAAATTTATTTTCTTAGTGGAGCCTATGGTGACTGTGTCTCTGGCAAAGACAGAAGCTCAGAACCACCACAACCTGCTCGTCTGTTTGCTAACAGATTTCTAGCCAAATCAGATCAAAGTCCAATGGTTCTGAAATGACCAGAAGAAAACAGCTGGTGTGTGTTCATTCCTCTTATTAGGAATGGAGATTGAACTTACCAGATTCATGTGAAGCTAGAAATGACTCCTCCGCGTGGAGATATCTACACCTGACAAGTGGAGAACATCAGCCTTCAGAGCCCCATCACAGTGGAGTGGTGTAAGGGGCAGTCTGTTTCCTTTTAACCAATATTCCACAGCACACAGGGTAGAGCTATCCCTGGCATACACCATCCCCTGTTCCTCATGACTACTGAACAGAGATTCACAGCCAAAAGCTAGCCATATCAAATGAGGGCTAGTGGCGTTTATTCTAGGACTTCTCTAACTTTATTGGTTTCATTCTGAGGGTTTTATTCATTAAAAGAGTCAGAGCCTTGAGTTTTATTTCATTTACTGTTCTTTTCATTCATTTTTGGTTTTCTTTTAGATTAGTTTAAGACTTATGGTATATAGATGAAAGCAGAATAAATTTCCCCATGAAGTTGTATGTTTAATATCTTTTGGGGTGAGTAAGAGAGTGGCTGTTTGTATAATGAGATTTTTCTCCTGTGTAATTTCTTTTACTGGGCTTTCTGGGCCTCCACCAATAGGTAACATTTCTTCTCTGATCTGGTAGTTAGGGTGGTAGAGGGAGCAGGTGTTGAACAAGCATATATAGGTGGCCTTCTGGTAAGAATCCACACTGCAATCCCAAAGGCACATGGTTCAACTCCAACAGCTGCCCTGTGGAAGAAGGATGAGCACTCTTCTGGGCAATTTACTGCCTCAGGAAACACATTGGAGGGTCAGCTATAAGTGGGTTCTGACTTGAAGGCGCACAATAGAAACAATGATCTAAAGAACAATGAAGTTAATAAAAATATTAAGATATGCCTTGCCCAAGCCATGGCTTTTCCCCAAGTCCTATGCATCTGAATATTGTACAATGAATAAGGATGACAGGAGAAAAATTATGCCTTTGAATTCTGAGGTTGGTAAAATCCACGACTATGCCATTGACTGCCAAAAGTATGAATAAATCTTGTTTTGGAGGAAGTGCCACCAGGGTGCTCTATGGAGGCAAAAAAGATGGTGAAACTCCATCTCACATATAATTTGGCAATGTTATCAGGAAAAAGACATCATTCTGGGAAAAGTGATGCATCAGAGAAACGGAGGCAGATCTTTAAGAAAATGTATTGCCACAGTGATTGTAACAAAGAACTTGACCATATCAGAGGTCATGAGGATGGCACAGGAAAGGGCATGGTTCCCCTCTGTTGTTCCTACAGTAGCCATGAATTTTTGACTCAATGGTACATATATTTTTTTTAAAATTTAGGTTGTTTATTTTTCATTTCAATAAACATCTACAGAGATTTTGGAATTCCATTCATTCATTGTTGCACCCTTCTCCCTGCACAAACCCCCGCCCCCCGTTTGCTTCTCTCCTTGAAAAGCAAAAGAAAAACTCCCTCATTGGTACACAATCCCCCCCGCACCTCCCCAAACTCAATGGTACATATTAAAAGAAATTACAATGGACTTAGTTCACAATGTATTCTCTGCTACCCAGACCATGCCTAAGGGGCAAGATTTTTCTTGCTTCTGTAGGAAGCTCCAAAATTTGTTTCTTAAAATCATACCAAACCTTAGCAACACTTTCTGTGAATCTTGCAATTGGAACTTCATTTTGTGTGTTAGACAATAATGACTACCTAGTAGCTCATTCTTGGTAGCTACAGTCCTTTAGGCATTTATCCTTGACTGCAAGATGGTACTGCTGGTGAAAAGAAGGTGAGTTTTTACTCAATTTAGTATAAAGATTGAGTCAACAAGCCTTGAACCTTTTCTATTTCCTGAAAGTATAGCAGCTCTTTTATGCCTCCTATATATGTTAGTCATATAGGTTCAATATGGATTGAGGCTCAATATCAAGAAGACAAAGATTCTCACCACTGGACCAATTGGCAGCATCAGGATGGATGGTGAAGAGATTGAGACTGTTAACAGTTTTAGTTTGCTCGGCTCCACAGTCAATACTCTTGGCACCAGCAGCCAGGAAATGAAAAGATGTATTGTGATGAGAAAGTCTGCTGTTAGGGACCTCTCCAAAATATTGAAGAGCAATGGTGTCTCTCTGTAGACAAAGTTGCATCTGATATACTTGTTATGCATCAGAGATTTGGACAATGACTAGGGAGGATAGAAGGAGAATTGATGCCTTTGAGCATGATGCTGGAGAAGAGTATTAAGTGTACCATGGACTGCTAAGAAAACAGATTAATCCTTGAAAGGGTTAATCTCCTTGGAGGCAAGGATCCTGAAACTTTGTCTGACATACTTTGAACATGTTGTAAGGAGGAACCCTGTCCTTGGAGAGGGACATCATGCTTAGGAGGGTGGACGGACAGTGCAGGAGGGGAAGGCCCCCTATGAGGTGGATTGACTCAGTGACTGGGGTAATTAGGATGGATATATCAGAGGCAGTGCGATTGGCACAGGACAGAGCAGAGTTTAGGGCTGTTGTACAAAGGGTTGCTATGAGTTGCAAGCAATTTGATGGCACATAACAACAGGAACATATATGTTAGTCAGGCTGAAGTTACAGTTCATTTTAGTTGATTTGCCTTTTATAGATAAGTGAGAGATGTAATAGCAAGATGACTTGCAGGTGACCTTTAAGATTGGGGATAAGGAGAAGAGGAGAAAGTGTGTATCTCTGAGAGAGGATTTTTCTGACCACTCTCCCTCTTCCCTCTGCAGGGCTCCTGCACTGACTTCTGGGAAGTATCTTTGGACTGAGATTGATTGCTTTTTCTGCAAGTCTGCATCATCCTTTTCCAGAATTCCTAACTTCTTTGTTACCTTGTCCCCTCCTGAGACTAGAGTCACCTCCTGTGAGCCCCGAACCAAGGATATTTCCTCTTGTTCTGACTATGGATCCTCACTCTTGGGTGCTTCCAAGAGTGTCTACTTCAGTTTCCAAAGTGACATTAAATAGATCTGAAATGTAATAGTCTCTTATACTTTTCTCCATTCTCTCTGCAATCCTATTCAGGTTATTGATGAAATATATGGGGGGAAACCACAACAAAAGTCCTCATAAAGGGGGGTTTATTGATTCCATGAAGATATTGAATCAGGGTCACTGAAGCATTATGCAGCTGAGTGGAATATTCCAGGCATTTCCAGAATAGACAACAATTTAGGAAAAGAATCAGGAGGCTGGAAGGAAGAATGTAGAGGAATATAAGAACTCTAGGGGATTCAGCACCTAAAGTTCCAGAGGAGAAGTAAGAGCAGAAATGTTTTGAGAAGAGAAGGAATTTGGTGGACTTCTTCAGAAAATGGAGCAAGGTCATGTAACAAGTCCAGTCTTCCATTCTTGTGCATCAACAATAAACCTGCAACAAGAGATAAATGAGATTTATGGGTCCTGGGGGGTCCTATGCCAACATTATGTCATTTTACAATTCTATAACTTTTAGGCTATGTTAATATCCATAGACTCCTTCCACAGCTTCCTTTTCTCTTGTATTAGGAATACAGCTCTGATAAATCTGAATAATTACCTTATCCTTTTTTAAGATGTGACTCACAAGGCCCCTTCATGTCTCGGGGCACTGCCTGAACGCAGGCCTCTAATGATGAAGATGGTGCCCACCACAATGCCTATGAGGCCTATAGCCAACCCCAAGGCACAGACCACAGTCTCCGTTAGCTCTGACACAGGGGCTGGAATCTCAGGTTCTGTAGAAGTAATATTGTTCAGGTTAGAATATAGAGTCATGTGTGTAGGATGGCTGTAGGTATTTGCAAAGATACAGGACACTAGGTTTATGTAGAACAGTAAACTCTATCATTAGTAACTCTTGAAGTAAAAAAAAACAAACAAAACAGAAGAAAAGAACCCTTGAAGTGAGGGAAATATATTTGGGGTGCCAAATGCCATAACTCCTAGTGATGGTGTAGCTCCCAGTTTAAGAAAGGTTTGAATGCAGGGCTGGCATCTGCTTCCTAAACAATATACTTATGGAAACTCTTTGAACTTTGAGAAATGATGATAGTTATAGAAAAGGTTCAGGTCATTTGTTCATAGGGTTACAATGAGTCATGCTCTACTTGATGGCAATAAAAAAGAACAACAGGCAAGTGCCAGCTAAAATGCAGGAGAATGTGGACTTGACAGACAAGAAGTTTCTAAAAGTATTGAAGTTTGTACATACCCCAGTGCTTTAGAAATGGCTCTTCCAGACCCCAGTGTTCCACCTCACAGTCGTAAATATCATCAGCAGAAGGGACAAAAGTCAGATAACCCATCTTTACGAATGAATGATCACTTTTGGGAAGGAAGTTGGTCTCAGAGACACCTTCTGTGACTACTTTTCTGTTCCTCAACCATGTGATATTGATCACGGGAGGAAAGATGTTATCCACAAGACAAATGAGGACATTGGGCTGACCCAGCACCACAGAAGACTTGGGAAACACAGTCACCTCAGGAATCTCTGCAGTGAAAATATGGCATTGATAAAAACATCAAATCCTGGAGGAATCCTCCCACCAACATTTTTCCACCACAAAATGGAAGAGTTCTTGTTTCCCTTCTGCTTGGAAAACACTATATATATACTAAGAAGTTTCTTTCTGTGGGCTTGTTTATTAAACAGGACCTTTCTTAGGATGACTCAAGCAATACATTATGAGAGTAAGGGTCCTTGCATTATATGAGAATATATGATTTGTAAGACTAGAGATTATGATAATTTGCCAATTACCAATTGATACTTTTTTTACAAGAGAAAATTTTATAGCATTGTTGGACAGTTATCTATCTCTAGGGATAAAAGGAATGAGACTCAGTACGAAGGTATATATTTAATAAAAAGAGGCAGAATGAAGGCTGCATAGTGGAGTATACTTGGGGTGGGGGGAATTATATACCAATGAAAGAATTGTTCTCTTTTCAAAGAGAAGAGAGAACAGGGTGTGAAGGGGTGGGCAGGGAGAAAAATGCAACAGTGAATAAATGGAAATCCAAAATCTCTGTAAATGTTCATTAAAATTAATTAAAAAAATTTAAAAAAGAGGCAAAAATGATGAATACATACCATTTACAGCAGCAGTAGAGTTAGAGCGTTTTGTTAAGACTTCCAAATTGTGTCTCCCTGCAGCAATGTTTCTAAGAGCACCCTGTGGGTCAAAACTTGTAAATTTGCTGAACATAGGCAGCTTCCATATGGTCTGCTTTTTCTCCAGGTCCACATAAAACTTCTCGTCTCCATCAAAGTCATGAGTGTACTGACCTCTGGAACCATATGACTGGTAGACAGTTGTGCCATAGGAAGCAATGTGATCAGCTGACAAGTAACAGTGAGGAGCAGGAGGGTGGAAGATAGAGAGAGAGAAGAACCTTATTAAAGTGATAGAAGAAATTGACCTTTATATATTTTCTTTGGTACAGTATCTGAACAAAATTTTTATCACTTGTCTTCTCCCCCTAGTTGTTGTTATTGTTATGTATGTTGTGTTGGAACTGACTCCTAGCTGACCCACCAGGGGGTTTTTAGAGGTTGTAAATCACTCAGGAAGAGATTTTCCATCTTTCTTCTGCAGAGCAACGACTGAATTTGAACCATGTGCTTTTGAGTTAACAGTGCAACTCTTTACCACTAAGCCGTCAGAATTCCTTCTTCTCCCTTCGGGTTGGCCATCTCCCCATCAGAAATTATCTTTTCCATTCTGCTGCATGTTCCATGAGGACGGAATTTATGTATTGCTTGTTTATTTAGCCTGAGTGCCTAACTCAGCTCCTAGAAGGTAGAATGCATATGAATATTGCAATTGAATACATGAGGGAATTGGTAATTATCATAACATTTAATCTTTATTCTCCAAATAGTCCATTTCCCTTCTTGACTATTATCTCTTACTTAATTTCAATCAGCTGATGACATATTACTATAATTCCTTTCCCCTCAGGACCAACCTCAGAGCAGGACAGTGTCTACTTAGGAATCTCTTCTTCATTTTTTTTATTAGAGACATGCAAACAGTATCTTTTTGCTTTAAGAAGAAGAATTGCAACTTGGGAATGACTGGAGAGCACTATGCTGAGTGAACTAACTCAGTCTCATAAGGACAAATACTGCATAAGATCATTATTGTAAAAATATAAGGATAACTAGCAAAACATATATAGGGATCCAAAGAGGTATGGGGTGGGAACAGCGGGGTGAGGATGAGAAAGGGGTGAAACCACAGAATTGTACAGTTTGGTGCATGGAGGGAGGGGGTAAAGGAAATGGGAATGATCAGTGGGGACCTGAAAAGATTAGGTAATGAAGGTAAAGTCCAATGGTGATTGATTTCATAAAACATAATTCATAGGAATGATTGTATGAAACACAATATGAATGAAGAATAGTGTGAAACACAATGGATATGAACTTTGTGAGCAAACTAATATAAAAACAAATGAACAATAAAAGCAAACTGAGAGTCAGAAAAGAAAATGTGCAATAATGAATGAATGAAAAAGCCAAGATTTCTGTAAACTTTGGTTAAAATCACAATTAAAAAATTTTAAAAAGAGCAAGAATTGAAAGATTTTAAATGTGGTTATCTCTGATATCATCCCACAATTCATCTGGTATTGATAATTTGTGTTCAATGCTTCAAATTTATTAAGATAATTTTGATAGGCAGATGGAACAGGTTCAAGATTGAATCTTGGTTCCTGTAGACTTATTTTCATTTTATTCTGTTCACATGAGATCCATTACATTACAAAGTGTTCACTTTTTAGTGTTAAATTACTGTCCTGAAAAATAACTCCAACAGGAAACTAAAGTTTAAGGGTATGGGGGGATGTGATATAAAACAGATTTTTTTTTCTCAGAAGTTTATGCTAATGGCTTCACTAAAAGATTAACATGTTGTTGTTGAGTGCTGTCAAGTCCAATATGACTCATAGCAACCCTATGAACAACACCTTTGAACACTGTCCTATCCTATTCCATCTTTCTCATCTCTGGTATATTCAATCCCATTGCTCCAGCCACTGTGTCATTCCATCTTATTGAGGATCTTCCTCTTTTTCTCTGACCCTCCACCTTTCTAAGCATGATGTCATTCCATGTCCAAGGGATAACCTCTTCTAGCAACATGCCCACCAACATGTTTCTGGCCAAAGATTACTCCGAGCCTTCTCACAGAAGACACTTAACAACAACAACAACATATATTGCCAAGTTCTTGTCTTTCATTTTGGACTTTCATTGGCTCGACTCTGTATGATGGAGCTCTTGTTTTGGTTGAGGATATGTGTGGACTGTTTCATTGTTTAAGCTTCTTGTTTAGAGTCAACAAGACCTCCAGGAGGACACTTGCACTTAAGGCCAAGCTGTTGTTTCCATTTTGGAAACTGGGTGAAGTGACTGGACTCTGTAAGATGGGTTTTCATATTTTGGTTAAGGGTCATTGTGAAACTTTTTTTTTTCTGTTTGTTTCCTTTTTAAAAAAATATTATCAAAGCCTCTTGTTTAGAGTCAACAATACCTCCTGGAGGGGCCTTATATTTAATAAGTCAGGTCTGAGGGATTATTTTTTAATCCTTTGCTACTATACTTTGGAGGAATATTCTTCTATGTAATACAGCACTCTTCTGTCAATTTGCCATGTTGAAGTAATCTGGGTTTGCTGTGATGCTTAACCTTGTACCACTGGGGTCTCAAATGACATAATGGCTGCCCATGGTAGACAGTGTTTTGGGGAGCTCTCAGTTTTAAGACAGGTTGGAAAGCAGGAGTGGCATCCACTTCCTAAACCACACTCCCATGGAAACTCTATGAACTTGGAGAAAATAATTATAGAAAGGCCTTAAGTTGTTTGTTCATGGAATTGCTATGAGTAGTTCGTGACTCGTTGGCAATCAACAACATAAAACCTATACCTAGATCAAGAAGCTATTGTCCACACAGAACAAGGGAATACAGAATGGATTAAAATAAAAGAGGATGCACATTAGACTGCATCGTTTCCTCAAGTGTATTCAGTCTATATGCTGAACAAAGAATTCAAGAAGTTAGAATCTATGAAGAAGCATGTGGCATCAGAATAGGAGGAGATTGGGAAAACAGTGGAATGCTCCCAGATGACCATTTTTGGATGTTGGGAGCCAATGAGAACGCATGATTATGTAGGAATGTGAAATGACAGAGCTCATGGATTTTGAACCATGCCTTGGTTCTTAAATTTGATTGGGCCCTTGGGCCTGGTTTTAATTCTTTTTAGTCAAACATTCTTCTAAGTGGTACAGCATTGGTCTGTCCATTTGCTGTACAGAAGTAACTTGTCGTTGCTGTGATACTGAACACTGTGACACTGATATGAACAATGTGATAGTGGTCACTCATGGTGGACAGTGTTTGGTGGAGCTTCCCAAGGAAAACAAGTTTGGAAACAGGAGTAGCATACACTTCTGAAAAAGTTTGCCTCTCGAAACCCTATGAACTTGGAGAAATGATGAAAGTTACACAAGTGTTCAGGTCTTTTGTTCACAGGGTTACTATGGCTTGAAGGCACTTAACAACAACAACAACAACAAGAACAACAATCTATGCATCCTCAGATAACATGTGTTTTGTCCTTGAATTAAAAAAATATTAGATCACTGAGTGGTAAAAAATATGTATTTAATAACAAATTCTAATTCTCTAAAATCACACAGCTGTTTGAGAAAACTGGTAAATACAATGGTAACAAAAGTATATGAAAGTCAGGAATTAGGGCCATGTCTGCATTGACTTTTGTGGTCCATAAATGTTATTGGACCCATGAACTCCTTTCTTTGTAATATTAACACAAATTTTATTTTGTGACTGCAATGTCATTATCATTTAAGGAATGATATAAAGATGAATAAAATCCAGGCCTGATTAAAAGAAAATATTTCCATTGGCTCTAAATGTTAATTTTTAAATCATTTTAAAAGAAAACATCCCCCACCCTCCCCATAGGCCCTGAAAGTGTCATGGCCTTTTGACATTGTACCCACAGTGTCTAGTGGATAAGTTGATTCTGACCAGCACATGGAAGCATGATGTCAGGAAAGAAAATTTAGAAAAATAGAGTACAAGTAAGGTATCTTGAACTCCTACTACAAAACGATGCTGGGAACATCATGGTTAGTGGACATTTTTTGTTCTGTTTTGTTTTGTTTTTGTGATTGTTTTCTTCTTGTGTGTTGTCAAATTGGATCCTACTGGCTCAGGAGGAGATTGCCCCTCCTGCTCCATCAGAGCATCTTGAAGATTCAAACTGCAAACCTTCGGGATTGCAATGCAGCTTCTTGTCACTAGGCCACCAGAGCTCCCATTAACTGACTTTTAATAACTATTGTTTTCCCTTTTAAATATTTACAGTTTGGTTTTCACAAGCCCACTATTTATGTCTCTAAAATAGCAGAGGAAAGAGCTGGGGTTGGCTCATGAAAGGAGAGAAGGATAAAGAATGTTATGCATGGTAAGAAAGTGAAAAGAAATTGATAGTGAAGGTAGAGAGGCCAAAAGGGCAAAGCAATATTTATTTGTCTATGTCTCCCCTTTATAAGACTTCATTGAATGGGATCAAGGATCTGTAATTTGGGCTATTAATTTGAAAATATTCTTTAATTCATTAAACATTTTATAAGAACCTCAACTTAAAGATAAAAAGAAAGCTATTTTCTAAAAGACAACTAGGAAGCTATCTTTGTAATAGTATAACTTTAGGAATAAATGACTCTTTTTTATGTCTTCACTTACAAAACATGCCAGGGAGCTTTGGTGACCTATTTTTTTTTAGGGAAAAATGTGTGAGATAATACATATACAGTAACTAAAATGAAGTGAGGACCTGTGTGATAAAATGATTTGTCTAAAAACATTCCACCTTGGTTGACAAACTGTGGTAGTTTCTATTGTGGAAATATATGTAAACCTGAGACAATGAAAAAGGATGTAATGTGTGTATGTTGCTATGAGTTGTCTATGACTCGACAGCACTTAACAACAACAACAACAACAAATGAATGAAACTCCTCAACACTTGTGTGACTTTCATCCTTTCTCCAGGTTCAGTTGGATTTCTGGAGGCAAGCTATTACAGAAGTGGATGCCACTCTTGCTTCTAAATATATATATATCTAGATCTCCATAATGGGGGGAAACCCCTCAAACTCACTGCCATAAATGGATTCTGACTAATAGCTGACCCTCTATCAGGTTTCTGAAGGGTAGTCACTAGGGAGGAAACTGCCAATCTGTCTCCTCAGTATTGCTGGTGGATTTGAACTGACAGAGATGAGGCTTTTGAGTTATCAGTGCAACCCACCACTGACTACACTACCAGAGCTTCCTGGATAAAAAGATCTAAAAGTTGTTCAGAGAAAGTTGAGAGTTTAGTTCATAAACTTTAACAAAAAGCTAACTTGTGAAAACATTTCCACTATTTGAGGCAACCATAAATGATAATCATAGAGACCTTTAAGATATGTTCATTGAAGACTGAGAAAAACTGGATAGATTATGTATACTGAATTGAAACAGATGAGGGAGAGAACAGTTTAAAAGTGATACATGATAGGGTTTTAAGATTATCACAGGAATCCAGAATTAAGTTGCATTTGGGGTGGGGGGATTGTATACCAATGAAGAAATTTATCTTTTGCTTTTCAAAGAGAGGAACAAACTGGAGGAGAGGGTATAGGCCAAAGTGCAACAATGAATGAACGGAAATCCAAAATCTCTGCAAACGATCATTAAAATTAATAATAAAAAAGATATGTTCATTGGATCAAAAATAGTATAAACTCATTGGTAAACCCTGAAATAGCATATTTAGCCAAGAGAGGGTATTGAGGCACTTTTTTTCCTGAAAAGGGGAGATAGATAAAGATAGAAATCAAGATAGATAGAGATAGACAGAGATAGATAGATAGATAGATAGATAGATAGATAGATAGATAGATAGAGATAGAGGAGAAAGGAAAGAGTAAAGGGTAAAGGGAGAGGGAAGAGGGAAGAGGGGAGAAGAGAGATGGAGTCAGGGAGGGAAAGAATTAGGGCTCATATTTTTTGAAAAGTAGGTAACATAATAATGACACCTGTTTAATACTGAGAACACACTTAAACTGTTACTGTTTCCCAACCAGGCTCCATCTCTTCTTGCCCCTCTTCAATCCTCTTTTCCAACTCCAGTCCCCAAGCTTTACCACGCACTTACCCACAATGTCTTCACTTCTACACATGCTCATGATGGTAGTTAGAGCGAGTGTCCCCAGAATCAGAGCTCTGTTTAAGATCATTATTTTCTCCAGGTGGTCTCTGTAGGTGCTATTCTGTGTTGTAGAGCAATAGTGAGAATTAAACCTAAAAGAAACTTGTATATCTGAAACAAAATCTGCCAGATTAATCCAGCCAATCAGAAGCATGCCCTGTGGTGACACTGCAGTTGCCAGTTGAAGAGTTTGTATTCTGAGGACTGGAAGGAGATTGGGAAATTCCCTAACACTGATGCAGCCGCCTCCACTCAAGAGTATTCTGAGGGTATTTCATATGAATGAAGGGAAGGATACTGAATCAGAATCTTATTCTTAGGATCATGAAAAAAGATATACACCTATCTGTTGTCTTATTACAAACTTGTTTGCAGAAAAGTGAAGAGATTTGAAGCAGTTATTGATGAAGTGCGGAGACTATGACCTACAGTATTGACTTGTTGTTATGTGGCATCGAGTCTCTTGCTACTCATAGTGACCCTGTGTACAGCAGCTCTGAACTCTCCTCTATCCTGAGCTAACCTTACTGCCTCTGACACAAATATCCCCATTACCCAGTCACTGAGTTAATTAATCTCATCCAGGGTCTTCCTCTCTTGTGCTGTTCCTCCATCCTCCCAAACATGATGCTCCTCTCCAAAGGACTGGTCCCTCCTGGCAACATGACCAAAGTATGTCAGACAGGGCTTCAGAATCACTGCCTCCAAGGAGCAGCCTGGTTTCACCCTCTGCAGAATGAACTTGTTTGTTCTGGCTGCCCATGGTATATTCAATACTCTTCTCCAGCACCACACCTCAAAGGCATCAATTTGCTTTCTATCATCCCTAGTCATTGTTCAGCTTTCTGATGCATAGCAAGTAATTGCAAAGACCATGGCCTGGATCAGGAGCACCTTAGTCTCCAGACTGGCATCGCCGCTCTTGAGTACTCTGGATAGGACTCAGAAAGCAGATTTTCCTAATGCAATTTGCCTTTTAATTTACTGGCTGTTCGTACCAAGAGTGTTGATTGTAGAGCTGGGCAAACTGAAGCTGTTAACAACCTGTCTCTTCACTGTCTATCATGATGCTGCCAATCAGCCCAGTGGTGAGAATCTTTATCTTCTTGATGTTAGACTTCAATCCATGTTGAAGGCTGTAATCTTTGATTTTCTGCAACAAATGTCTCAGGTCGTTCTTACTTTTGGCAAGCAAGTATGTGTAATCTGCATAATGCATTGTTGATGTGTCTTCTTTCAATCCGGATGCTACATGCCTCCTCATAAAGCCCAGCCTCCTGGATGATCTGTTCCACATATAAATTTTAAAGGTATGTAGATAGCAAGCATCCCTGGTGTACACCCTTCCCAATTTTTACCATGCGATGTTTCCTTGCTCTGTTCTGACAACTGTCTCCTGGTCCAAGTATAGGTTACGCATAAGCATAATCAAGTGTTTTGAGATTCCCATTCTTCTCAGAGTCAGCCACAGTTTGTTGTGATCCACACAGTCAAATGCCTTTTCATAGTCAATGAAACAGAAAGACATTCCTCTAATACTGTCTGCTTTCAGCGAAGATCCATCTAACCTTAGCTATAATATCCCTAGTATGGCCTCTTCTAAACCCAAGCTGCAGATCTGACAGTTTGGATTACTCCTCAATATAAACAAGACAAAAATTCTCACACCTGGGTCAATAAATATAATCATGATAAACGGAGAAAATATTGAGATTGTTAATGATTTAATTTTACTTGGATCCATAATCAACCCTCATGGAAGCAGAAATCAAGAAATCAAACAGTTAATTACATTGACAAACCTGCTGTCAAGGGTCTTGTAAAAGAAAGAGAAAAAAAAAATGTAATTAAAGACTAAGACACTCTTGACCCAAGTCATGGCATTTCCAGTTGCTTAATATTCTTGTGGAAGTTGGACAATGAAAAAAAAAAAGACCAAAGAGGAATAATTTTCAATGAATTATGGTATTGGCAACGAATATTGATATACCATGTATTATAAAAAGAAAAAAATTAATTTGTCTTGCAAGAAGTAGAGTGTTTCTTAAAAGTGGGGAGATTTTGTCTCATGTACCTTGTGCATGTTACCAGGAGGACCCAGTCCTTGGAATAGGCCCTCAGCAGAAAAGAAGATGACTCTAAATGAGATGAATTGACACAGTAATTACAATAATGGCCTTAAGCACAGCAAAGATTGTGAGGATAGTGTAGTACAGATAGGGCTTCATTCTGTTGTGCTGTTGTGAGTCAGAGTCCTCTCAACAACGATTAACAAAAACAACAATAGACCAAACTTGATCTCTTAGGGCTATTCTAAAAAAATATTCATTGTCATTGAATTGAAACCTACTGACCCTCAGCTGACTTTTTGGAGGCTGTAAACCACATGGAAGGAGATTGCTCATCTTTCTCCTGCAGAGCTGCTGGTGAATTCAAACTGCTAATAATGCTGCCTTTGGATCAACAGCACAATTCTCTACAGACTACACCACCGCAGTTCCTCATGACTCCTGCTATGCTTGGGCCCATGGTTGTAGCTGCTGTGCCAGTCCATCTCATCGGGTGTCATTCTCTTTTTTTTTTTTTTGCTGACTTTCTACCAGGAATTATATCTTTCTCTAAGGATTGTTTCCTTCTGATAATATGTCCAATGCCTGAGAGGCAAAGTCTCATTCTCCTTGCTATTAAAGGAAAGTGGGTTGGTTTGTTCTTTTGGTATTAGATGGCATATTTAAAATTCATTGTCAACAAAATTCAGACATCAGTTCATCTTTGTTCTTCTTTATTCTTTGTCACAAGCATATAAGACAATTCTAGATATTATGGCTTGAGTCAGATGCAGATTAGTTCTCAAAGTGATATCCTCTCACTTTAATACTTTGTTTTATTGCCCCAATACTGTCCTATTTTTTAATTGTAATTTGAGTGAAGGTTTATAAATTACTTTTTTATTCCTGCATATTTTATTCAAAAACATTAATTTCAATCCCCACAATTATTGTACTTTCCCTATTTCCTGGCTCTAATTCTGATTCTCATTAATCCTTCTATATCTCTCTAAGTCTTTCCTTACTTTAGTGATATTATGCTGACTCTGGCATACCTACCCACTCCCATTGCCTGAGGTACTGTATCAATCCATTTCATCTGGGGTCTTCCTCTCCTGCGCTGTCCCTCAACCCTTCCTAGCATGATGTCCTTCTCCAAGTACTGGTCCCTCCTGGCCACTGACCCAAAGTACATGAGATGGAGCTTCAAAATCCTAGCCTCTAAGGAGAAACTTGGTTTCACACAATCTCAGATAGACAAGTTTGTTCTCTTGGTAGTCCATGGTATGTTCACAACTCATCCAGCACCACCAGCTCAAAGGCATCGATTCTTCTATCATCCTTAGTCATTGTCTAGTTCTCTGATGTATAGCAAGTAAAGACCATGGCCTGGATCTGGCACATTTTAGTCTCTAGACTGACATCATTGCTTTTCAGAATTCTGGAGAGGTCCCTGATATCAGATTTTACCAATGCAATTCATCTTTGGTTTTCTGAGCAGAGCAAGCTGCAATTGTTAACAACCTCAATCTCTTCTCCACCTGTCATGATGCTGTCAATTGGCCCAGTGGTGAGAATTGTGGTGTTCTTGATGTTGAGCTTCAATCCATATTGAAGACTGCAGTTTTTGACCTTCTGCAGCAAGTGTTTCAGGCCCTCCTCAGTTTCAGCAAGCAAGGTTGTGCTATCTCCATAACTTAGTTTCTTGAAGAGTTTCCCTCCAATCCTGATGGCACATTCCTCCTCATAAAGTCCAGCCTCCTGAATGATCTGTTCTCCATTTAGAGGGAAAATTTATGGAGACAGGACACATATTTGATGCACTTCTTTTCTGATTGTGATATAATATTGTAATACTTGACAATGTTATAGGAATGCATCTCTCAAATATGTAAAGTTTAGCAATTTTGAAAAATAAATAAAAAGTAATAGCTCTTGCAACTGTATTTACAATAATAAGTTTATTCTACCTATGACCAAGGAGGATAGAAGGAGAATTGGTGCCTTTGAGCTGTGGTGGTGGAGAAGAGTATTGAGAATACCATGGACTGCTAGGAAAACAAACAGATTTGTCTTAGAGAGGGTTAAACCGGGTGGTTCCTTGGAGGCAAGGATTCTGAGGCTCCATCTAACTTACTTTGGACATGTTGTGAGGAGAGACCGGTCCTTAGAGAGGGACATCATGCTTGGGAGGGTGGAGGGACGGCGCAGGAGAGGAAGGCCCTCTATGAGGTGGATTGATTCAGTGACTGGGATAATTGGGATGGGAGTATCAGAGACAGTGCAATTGGCACAGGACAGAGCGGAGTTTGGGGCTGTTGTACATCGGGTCGCTATGAGTCGTAAGCGACTCGACGGCACATAACAACAACAACAACAACAATAACAACACCATAGAGTTTCTTTTAAACTATATCTTTTTATAATATTATATCATTATATTATTACTATTCTTCTTAAGTCAGTGGCTACATCTCAGAAATAATACTGCACTTGAAAAAAAGCAGCATTTAAAAAGGGCATAGAGTAAATAGCAAAAATAGGATAAGGAGGCATGAAACATATCCACCACCCTCATGGCCTGCTCTTATTCTCTGTGCAACTGAGAAAAGTAATGTATTAATATTTACTTGTTTTAAAGATGTGAAAACACTGTTTATTTTGTTGGTATTGTCTAGACTATTGTTGTTGTTGATTGCTGTCAAGTTGAGCACAACTCATAGCAATCCTATGAACAAAAGGCCTGAAGCCTTTCTATAACTATTGACATTTATCAAAGTTCATAGAGTTTCTAGAGGCATATTCTTTAAGAAGTGGATGCCAGTTCTGCTTCCAAACCTGTCTTAAGCTGGGAGCTCCACTGAACACTGTCCATCACGGGTAACCATTATGACATTTGACACCCCAATGGCACAAGATTCAGCATGACAACAACCCCAGATTACCTCAGTACAGCATATTGACAGAAGGGTGCTGTACC